GAGTTTAGACTATGGTACATATGGTCTCCTACAGAGGCCTCTAATGTACGATGTGGATAGTATACGCGGTTTAGGGTTTAGGGTTAGGGCATAGCATGCAGGGTTTACTTGGACATGGCCCGAATAATTGATCAAAGCCCAATGGAAAAGAACATGGAACAAGAAATGGAAGCTCGGATGATCTAGGATCTTCATAGGGAAAATTAATCACATTGTGGTCCTATATTCCTGGGATGATTATGGTATAGCGTACCCCACACGAATCTCAACATGATGTTCGGTACTTCTATTTGGGATTTACTGCTTGGGCTTAGCTTCGTGCTTAGAGGCTTTGGGGTTTGGGGTTGAGGTTCAGGGCCCGGGGCTTAAAGTTGCTAGGAGTCATCCTGAGAACAGCATTTGTGGAGATGATGAAGGGACGATGGGGGTGGATCTCACGGATTCTTAGGCCTTTGGCTGAAAAGCTCACATCTTTTCGTAGCTTTGGGTCTGTCTTCACATCTAGACGAGTATATGACGGTAGTCCAAATTCCAATCCCAACACAAAAGGCAAAAAAGTTTTCTGGTAGATTCAGGCACGTCTATCTTTCAGCCCTAATTTGTTCACAAAAAGATGAAAGTCAATCGTCAAATATACCTCTTAGAATCTCCCTCGGTGGAGGACACGTTCATCCACCCTGCCTTTGGCAGGGTGCCTTAACTTTGAGGCGGAGCAGTTTCATGAAGCTCTGGCCAATTGGAGACGCCAGGAAACTGGTTGAGACTGCTTGTGGGGTGCGAGTGTGACAGCAGTAGGAGAGGATAGGGGTAGTGGGTAATGGAATAGTCGTCGCCGCCGCCACTGCCGCTGAACTTCGTCGTCGTCGTCGCCGTCGCCTCGTCGTTGTTGTCGTCATCGTCGAAGTCATGGTCGTGGTGGTGGTGGTGGTGGTGGTGGTGGTGGTGGTGGTGGTGGTGCTGCTGCTGCTGCTGCTGCTGCTGCTGGTGGCGGCGGCGGCGGCGGCGGCGGCGGGGGTGGCGGTGGCGGTGGCGGTGGCGG